CTGAATAAAGAAGCAATTTTTATTTTTCTGATGATCAGGAACCACACCACATGACAATGTTTCATAAAGGTTATTTGAATAACTATATTTTTCATATCACATACTTATTTATCAAGTTGGATGTAATTTTTATTACTTATGCTTTATTAACATGACCATGATGGTCGAGTGGTTAGTGAATTTAAAGTGAACATGACTCATATTTGCCAGTTCTGAGTTTAAATTCAGGCACAACCCATGATTTTTTAATTAAGAATAAAAAAGTATTGCAGAATGGTTTGTCTTCATTCTCTGTGATGCCCAATGGATAGTAGGACATCTCTTTTGGATGACTGGAATTTCTTTACTTAAGTTTTATTAAACTTACTTTGAAATGAGAATGTTTTCATCAATTGGGAAAAATAGGAAGGGTGATATGCAAGAAAAAAATCCTTAAACTATTGTTTTTATTTCATAAAATTCATTTGCATGTTATTTATACATACAGCCTGTTATTTACCATTATTTATCAGTCAATTGTCTAAAACTATTACAAAACAAGCATACAAAGCATTCCACTTAATATTGTGATTATATCGTAATCGCTACTTGTGCTTGTTAATTACATGTAATAGATTTTTGCCCTCTGGTAATTTAAAAACAATAAATTATCTTTTAACCTTGTAGTTCATTAAAAATAATATATTTACATTTAAGTAATGCTATTTGAATATTGTTACAATGAAATGTGTATTTGGGTGAACATAAAATCTAGGTTTGTTTAACAATTCCAGCTTTGTTTTTTGTGTCCCCTGCATCAGCTTTGAGTACTAACATTATTAAAAGATATAAAATTGTGTAATAGTAAATAGTACATCATGACTGATTATTCAGCTTTTTGTACAGATTTTTTTTTGATAATATTTAATATTCAATGAATATAAATTTATTATGTTTAATTTCATTCAAAATTTTTTAAAACTTCTGTTTAGATAATGTTACCATTATTTTTTTTTAAAGGGTCATTTAACATTTTGTAAGAAAATAGCTTCAGCCTATCTTACTACAGTATAGATAAGCTTGTGATTTGTAATTTTGAAGTTAGCACGTTCTTTATTTATTATTAAATTAGTCTATATTATAAAGATTTAGTTAGCACATATATATTTATATATAAATTTATTTTCATATGTAAGAAACAATTCTGGGTAGAGCCACCAGCAATTCATAAGGCCTCAATGTATTGTGACAATAAAAATGGGAGAAAATCATTTTCCCCACTCATACAACTGTCCAATGGCTCTCTAGAAGGTGACCTACTGGCAACCCTAGCACTGAAATTTAGAAAAAAGTTGACTTTGCCTGAATGACAAATATTTCATACAATATTCTGTTATAGTTACAAAAAAAAAATAATGAATTGACAGTTATCAAGTGATTCTGAAATTGTCCTCCTATAACATGATTTATAAACTAAATGTTTCAAACATAAATAAATCATTTCTTTGAAATAGCCATATTGTATGTATAAAATAATATTTTTTATAATAAAATAGTTTTGATTAAATTTAATAAAACACAAAAAATGCAACTTTGTATAGTAAAGAAGTTTAGGACATGAAATAGGAGGACATCGTCCAAATTCATACCTGCTCGTTGGGACAAAATTGTTTAAAAACAAAAATAAATCTTTATTTTTGACAAAAAAATTGATAATTTATATATATGTATATATATAAACAGATGAAGTTTCATGTTTCATCAGTACCAACAAATTCAATCTTTTAGCATACTTTCCCTCAGCCAAAATAATTAATTAATAACTAACGTTAATAAACAACTTTTAGGCACTTTGCAATTCATAGCCATTTGTATTGGTTTACAATTTTTTTAAAGAAGCTAATATACATATATTTATATAGAATGTTTTTTTTTTTCATAATTTATGTGTATATATTTTGTCTCTTCTTGATAACATTAACCCCAGCAAGTAGCTTTACAGAAAGTAGCTTACGCTTTATTTATCTCATTGTGCTAACATTTGTATCCACTTGTCACAGTTATAAATAAGTAGAATTAAAAAACAACGGTAATTCTATGTAATCATAACAATTTAAACAGTAAAATTCTACAATAAAAATATAAGATGTTTAGCGATTTTGTGAAATATGTGTGATGATGGAGAGAGGGAGGTAGTTAAAATGAAATACATATATATTTATTTTTTTTGGGGGGGGGGAAGAACTAGTAAATTTATTCATGAGTTATTCACCTTGATTTCTCTTTATATAAAAAAAAAAACTGTTGTTAATCAGCCATTTGCTAATAGATATTTTTTATGGTGAAGAAGGACGGACTTATATTGTTGAAAAATTGTGAAAAACATCCTTCCCACATATAACACAAATCGCTCTCACCTTTCAAATCTCTCTTTACAGTGTAATCCTAGAAACACAGTAAAAATCACTTACACGAATAAAATTTTAGTAAATACAATAACACATCAACTTCAAACATAATAAATTTCAATATATACTTTCTTTCCAAATGAATAATTTAAATACAATATCTTGTTTAAAACAATCCAATGCGTTTTATATTTTGTCCTGTTTTTAGTTTTCTGTTCATTATAAAATCTGTTAAGAAAACAATCTACTATTGTCAGAAATTTCTATTATTATAATTTCAACCAAACAATTTTATTAGCTTTCAGAAGCACCTGTGTTATAACCACAAGGAATAGAGCTTAGCATTGAAAATAACCACAAAAGAAAAGAAGTGATATTTTGATAAATGTAATGAATGTGAAGTTGGTAATTTATTATATCATTGCTAGTTGAAAGTAATTAAATAAATAACAACCATTTCTGACAATAAAAATACATAAACCTGAATTTTGTTAACTAAATTTTAATTTTTAACTTAATGATACTGCAATAAAAAGTGAGTCTTATGATTTACCACAATGAAATAACTGAAGGATAATAGTTAAATACCATTTCATCGTACTAAAAAAAAAGGACTTTTCAACTTTAAACCCCTAAAATGGCTATGTTTATTTCAAAACAATACATCCTCACTATTTATTTTGTGTATCTGTTCTTGAATACTTGATCATACCAAGAATACTCTTTATATTAATGTCTTTGCAATCTTTTTTGTAACATTAACACATGTTATATCCTAAAAAGAATTCATGCCACAATATATGAACATTGATATGCAAATCTCAATGTGTGATTTTTTAATATATACAAATTATGCATGAAATGTATTAAGAACTACTTAACAATATTTACATAGTGTGAGTATATACAAGGTTATAATACGAAATATAGATATTATTATTTATATATAATATATAGATGTTTTTAGATATTATAATAATACTGTATAAATATACTTTGAAATACATTTTGATCCGAATCTAATGTAATTTAATGGAAATATAAACCTTGGTCTTCTGAAAAATGAGTGAACAAATTTGTCTGAACATTCAATTTTTTCATTCAATTCATAATCCTGGACGTTATAGTATTTATTTTTAAAGTCTAAATATAATCTAATTAAATGTTACACTCTAGTTTCTTCTCTATAAATATTTGGTGTAAATAAATTAGACTTTCCTAATTTAGCGTTTAAAACTCTCATTTTTTTTACACTTTACCCAATATTTTACCAAATATTTCATTTTATTTTTATAGTTTTTAAGAACAAAATATATCTCTGTATTTTGAATTTAATCAATTTATTTTTAAATTTTACAAAAAATTAATAAAAGGTATATCATCTGTATCAATATAATAGTGTCTTATATAAAAAGATTTTTGGGGAAATTTTTATCTCTAATAGTTCATATTTGTTTTCGTGAATGATTTCACATCACTTACCCTACATCCATTATCATTAATTCATGGTGTATTCTCACTTCTCTATGATTAATTTTTTGTAATAAATTAAGAAAACAACTCTGAAAATTATCACAAGAAATAATGCAATTATATAATGATAATACAACTAATTTATGACCTCGTCAATTTTTTAAATAGAGAAATAAAACATGCAATAATGGTACTTGGTTTTTTTTTACTCCATTTTGGTTTCAGTCCTGGTTTTTATGTCAAACCAGTGTCTGGTGCTGGCAGTATAGTTTGTATAATTTTTGTTAATTTGAAATCATAGATTTCATCAAAGACTTGTGAAAACGAATCGAGTATATTCGATACAAGATATTCAATTGAAGAACCATTGTGTTTGCTTCATAATGAGTTTAAAGAATTGATTTGATTCATGTTGTATAAAATGAGTAAACTAATAAATAAAAAATACAGAGGAAAGAAACAGGGGTTGTGAAAAAACTAAACGGGATATTTATAAAGCATTGATTCTGATTTATAGTCTTCAAACTGCTCCATTGTTTGCTGATGCTTGGTAGTTTGCCATATAAATATTAATCTCTTAGTGAATACGGACTTTATATTACAAAAATAAAAATAATAGCTTCACTTTGTTTGAAGAAAGAGAGATCAAAAAGAAAATGGTTATATATTATAGATTTTTCTATCTTATGTAGGGATATTTTTGTATTAGTGGATATATTTGATTTGTTGTTTTGTCGAGAATTGTAGACTTGTATTGAAAAGTCATCTTAAATAGTAAAAAGGCGCATCAATGACAAATTAGACAAGCTTCTTTAACTACAATAATATTTAAGAGGGCTATATTTTATTTTAATTAGGCACATGCAATATTATATATTTTAAAAATATAACAGTTGTAGATCTAAAATTATAAAAATTAAAAATAAGTATTAATTAACTGAAAGATTTGTCAAATAGTAAGCTTCAGAAATAAATAATAAATTAAATTTGATTATTCTTTTAAATTAACAATAAAATTTTTAAAAAAGTATAGAAATTTACCTGTCAAGAGACCTTGATATGAAAAGAATACAATTTTACTTTGTGTCAATTTATTGAAAGTAACAAAATATAATCAAAGTTTGCACTAAAATTAAATGAAATTGAATCATTTGAAACTTTCATTAATATGGCTGTTTAATTTTTTTTTGTAAATGAGCGATTTTTCATTTGTGTTTAAGCCTTTTCCATTTGGAAATCTTCTGAACTCTTCTGAAGTTCATTCTTGAGACTATTATTTTATTTCATTTGCACAAGTAGTGTAGTCCGTATATACATAACTTAAATAGAATGTGTTTGAACAAATATGTATGTTATAAATTAGTTGAATTTACAATTGTATAAATTATAGTTGAACACAATTTTTGAATGATAAGTTTTTAATTTTGTTGCTCTTATGTAAAAAACGTTTTAAAGTTTAGTTAATGTTAAAGTCATAGTAGTCAATGTCTCTTTCCATACTTGGGTGGTTCAAGTAGTCGTATATACAATTGGAGTCTTATGACAATAAGCTGTTAGTCTAAAAAACATGTCGTTTATGTTCTAATAATTAGGTCAATTTGAAATCGATGTTAGTTTTGATAATAATTTAATTCTGTAAAAATTTATCTGATTCATAATAGAATATTTTTTTGTTATACACGTTTCATTTTAGCATAATGTAAATAGCCCATTAATAGCATTAGAAAATGATGAAATTGGAATTTACATAATCATCCTTAAATTCTATAAGAAAGATTTAAAATCCGTTTAGGACAATTTTTATTTAATTAACTTTCCCATCAGAAAAAATATTAAAACTACGCATTTATGCTTTAGTGCTTCAGTTTCTTTTTAACAATGACATCTTAAGTAATAATCACTTTTCACTCATACTGATGCCCCAGCTATTGGACTAAAAAACTAGTTTATTGCTCACCCTCTATGTGTACGCTATCACTCAGCTGTTGGGGAGCAGTGGTTCGGGAACTAAGTGAGGTGTCCTACTACTTATCGGTGGGAGGATGGGGCTTGCCGGCCACTGGTATGGGGATGTCTGCGGAACGCTTCTTGAGTGAGACAAAATGGGTGAGGGGCACTGTGTTGCAGGTACGATGGCGGCTGACTCAGGATGGAGGAAATTTCGCCTGTCAGAACTCCTGTCGACTGCTATTCCACCACCTGCTACTGCCAGTTGTTGTGCCTGTTGTATGCAACGAGTTAGCAATTCCGGCAGCAATTCAACCTACGAATACAAAGAAAACAATTTTTGATCAATAACTTCAATTTATATATTTTTTCTTACAACTTATTAACAAATAATATATTTTCATTATATAAATGGAATGTACAAATTTAACCATACTTTCAGAATGGCTTATTACAGCTATATTTAAAATTCTTTCATTGTAATACCATGCAATTTGAATTCATACTGTATGAACAAAAACAACCACTCTCATATAAACACCAGTTTAATGCATTTTCAAAGGCTTATAGGCTTCAAGCACAGAAATATTAGAGAACCAGGTGGGAACAAGGGACCATTTTTTGAAGAGTAAGACCATAAGGCTTTCAAAATGCATTGATTGGGATTTATACAAGCTTGGTTGTTTTTGTTCCGACTAAAACCCAAACACAGCAAGTTAGCACAACAACCCAGATAAACGTAGAAGAATCATTAGCATGACATGATGGCAAACATCCTTGCATTGTTCAAAGCCTTAAATCATCATACTATTTTAGTTTATTGTTCCAATTCAAATAATAAAATGCCCAAAGGAGTGTAAATAAAAGGATAGTCAATAGATTGTGCAAGAACAATAAACACTCTGTTTGCTTTTGGGATCTCTGCCCTCTTGTCAACTGACCCAGAAAATGGTTTAGAGTTATTTTTTTTGTTATAAAGTGTACTCTTTATAAAAAACAACAACAATTTAATGAATTATTATTCTGTAGTATCTATTTTTATTTTGTGATAAAATTTATTCTTCTCTCAATCAATCGACTTGATTGGCATAAATCCTATTAATAGATTGTGTTCATCCCTATTTTCTTATATTGTTTCTTTTTTAATAAAAATAACAAAAAGTAGATTATATACAATTATGTTGTAAGTGTTGGGTTGTTTAATGCAGTGGTTATGAGATTCTGCAGATGGGGGATGTAGTCTTTCTGCTCAATGTACCAAAATTTATTGGCCAGGTTGAGTGTCTGTGACAGAACTCACCACTCTCTCTCTCTCTCTCTCTCTCTCTCTCTCTCTCTCTCTCTCTCTCTCTCTCTCTCTCTCTCTGTGTGTGTGTGTGTGTGTGTGTCTCTCTCTGTTTGTTTGTCTGTCCGCTTGTCTCTCTCTCTCTCTTTATTTTTTTTAAATACTAAACTATTTCTATTATGTAATATTTAATTAGTTATTGGTTTATTATTAATTATTATTTACAATTTTTTATGGAAAGACAGTTGTGAAAAAATGTCTATAACCTATACTCACGTTTCCAATGCTTTGGAAAAAAAAAACTAGGGTGGCCACATTTTTTGTCTCTCAGTGAGAGAATAACCCCTGAATAGCCTTGAAATACTTTTAGAACAAAGACAGAAAATCATATTAAAAAAATGTAAATGACTTCAAATATATACATATTTTCGGCTTTTAGTGTCCATTGGCAACGACAGACATATGTTTAGTTTTTTTACATAATTTCACCAAAAAAGCTTCATTGACAGCGGTGATCCCACGTCTTTAGCCTCCTCTAGTAAGTTTTAAGACACCATATTTACGTACATTACGTGTTACACATTAATTGTCTCTATAACTTTTATTTATTGTATTTACTGTTGGAAATATCGATTGTTTGTTGTCGTATTATTGAATATTTTATTGCTTTATACTGTTTTTATCCGGAAAAGGAAAAATGGTAATCAAGCGCGTTAGTAAGCGTATGTGCCAGACGTTGACAAGTTAAGATTTTATGTTCCTTTTTTGCCTTCCCTCTCGTCTTGAATCTTGGTTCCAAGTGGCAAAACGATCGGTTATTACGGGAAGAACAAAACTACGAAGAAATCTTAGGGTTGAATTAATTAAACCTTGAACTTTCGATGAAAAGGTTTTCCTGAAAAAAGAAACTAACGACGATAAAACATCTCTGCAGCACACGTAGTTTTAACAAGTAAAAACGATTGGAATCATCATGGATTCACGTGTTACTGATAAAGTGGGGAAAAAATTGTAGGTATCTTATAGAAATATAATGCCAATTGGAAATTCAGCTTAAAATAATGGTAAAAAACGAATAATTTCTAACATCGATGGTTATGCTAAACCATCATGACTGGCTGTACTTGCAAAACTGAAGATCGGTGCGCCTAGAAATATATAGCATTTTCCAGTCAAATGAACCTTTTTTTGTTTTTTCAAACAAATGAAACCTTTTCCCAGCAAATGAAACCATTTTTCAACCAAATGAAACTTTTTTTTCAAGCAGATGAAACCTTATTTCAAGCAAATGAAATCCAAAAATTAGTCTGTTTTATAAAAAGTCAAAAGTAATTAAAGTGTTGGTAATTTATACATTTTTATTGCCACAAAAATGTATTTAAATGTTATAATTCAAATATGAAGATTAATGCAGAGATTTTCCTGCAGAAGCTGCCGGAAGTTTTAACATTATTAAAAATTAAAGCAAGTGCGAGAAGGATGTAAATTGATTCGACCAACTTTGTAAGTGATCTGCAGTCAACTCAGTTACACGTACTGACTGCACCAATTACATTTTAGAGTTAATGTTAAAGCTAACGGCATCTGCTGCAGGAATATCTATACATTAATCTTCATATTTGAATTAAAACATTTAAATACATTTTTGAGGCAATAAAAATGTATAAATTACCAACATTTTTATTACTTTTACCTTTTTATAAAACACACTAATTATTTGATTTCACTTGCTTGAACTGAGGTTTCATCGGCTTGGAATTGCTTGAAAAAAGGTTTCAGTCGTTTGAAAAAAGTTTCATTTGACTGGAAAATGCTATATATACTGTGTTTGTGAACCTCTCTCACTCTACAGCTATCTATCCATCCATCCATCTATCTCTATATCTTTTCGGCAGTTGATGATGTTAATCTAAGGGCTGTGGTATGGAATGAGGTTCTCTTTATCTCTTATCACAATTTTTCTATCTTTCTCAACTTTCTTTCACTCTTTTCCCCTCATTTTATCTTTATTTCAACCGTCCTATTCATTGCTTTTAGTGTTTTAATTTTACTAAATTTATCAAAATATTGTTACGCAGGAAGGAAAGCTACAGACATTTTTGTATCAGAAATGCTTTTCTTTTACTTTGTACGAGCTGTTCAACTGGAAAACAATAAAAAAAGAAGAGTTCATCTGGTTCTGACCTTTATAATGTTGTTTTGAAAGATAAAATCTTTCACTTCAATAACAGGAATATTCACTTATTGTTTCGAAGGCAAATAAAAGTTATATAGAAAAAAATTAAATAATTTTCTTTGTCAATAAGTTTTAAACTTTGGATGAAGAAGAGATTATGGGTTAAGAATGTTTTTATTTCCTCTCTGAATTATATTAAATTATATTTTCGAGTATTAAAAAACTATTAAGTGAATACAATTAAAGTGTTTAAAAAGATAATGTTGAGGCTATAGACAGTTTAAACAAAAAGCGTTAGAACAAAAAAATCGCAAAAATATATCGGCATTTTTAAGGGTGTTTTTCAACTGAGTTCAAATTTTGTTCTTTCTGTTTTAAACCTGTTAGAAACCTGTCTGTAACCTGTTAGCTAAGTGGCTCAAACATCAGTTCATTATTGGATGGTTAGGGCTGAATAGGGATGGGTTAGAGATAGGTCTAAATGGAGGGTTTTTGGGCTTGTGGTTATTGGTTTTCCTGCCTTTATCCGAAAAAAAATTCTGAGAAATGCTCGGAGTCAGAGGGGCTTGCCTTCTTGAAGATGACCCTAGTCACGTCATTCATCACGTCCTCCCTTGCTATGGTATTTCCATGGCTGTGTGAAACCCCGGTGGAGTTCCTATTTAGTGGCTAACCATAAGCGCGATGTGATCACCATAAACTTCATTAAAGGTCTGAATTACCCCAACATGATGATGATGATTAGGTAATACTAGGAAGCGGGCTTTTGTATTTCCCAAGCATTGTAATCTTCTGGTTTATTATACTTTTCCTAGTTCCTTAGTTCAGTTCAATTGACTATGTCCTCCTAAAAGTACTAGATTATTAACTGTCATCTTAGAACCCCAGGTTATCCAGAATGAATACTTTGCATTCGAAGATAAATTGGGTGGCAGTTTCTTTCTCCTAATTGCATAACCTACAAATTGGCTCATCATTGAATATATCTATGTTGTGTAAGGTGTTTTATCAGATGCTAGTGACCGGTTCGTAACCCTATAATTTCCCCGAGTTTTCCCCTGCCTAACTGTAACCATCGGCGTCGGTGGCCGCAACGGTTTAGGCGTTGACACGGCGCTCGTAGGTAAAGGTCTCGGGTTCGAATCTAGCGGCCCTACATTCGAACCCGACGTACTTACAAATGGGCATTCTTTCAAAAACACCGGCATCCCGAGGGTTGATATAACCTCTGCTGTTGCGCATCGTAAAAAAAAAAAAATAATAATAATGAGGTTAAATAATAATTTTTATTTAGAAATCGTGAGATGCAGTCTGGTGTGATGTAGGTTTCAGCAAAACATTTTCTTTATCGTGCCAACGTTTCTATCTTTATTGAGATCATCTTCAGGGCCTGGGATTTACAAACATGGTTTACATATAACAATTACATTTTGAATGTGGAAAAGTGAATTTATACAATGCAAAATATATATATATATATTTTTNATATATATATATATATATATATATATATATTGCATTGTATAAATTCACTTTTCCACATCCAAAATGTAATTGTTATATGTAAACAATGTTTGTAAATTCCAGGCCCTGAAGATGATCTCAATAAAGATCGAAACGCTGGCACGATAAAGAAAATGTTTTTCTGAAACCTACATCACACCAGACCACATCTCACGATTTCTAAAGAAATATCGATTAACGGTCACTAATCACCACACATTAAATAATAATAATAATTGAGGTTTACTCTGGCACTTTTGGAGTTTGTCCATTTTTTTGTTTTATGTTGACCCATTCTGAGATGGAGGAGGTTTTGCTTGAACTTGTTATCCGAAGTTCTTGGCTTTATGTTTTTGTAGATCTTTTTTTCGCCAATTTGTCTGTTTGTTCACTACTCAAAACTCGTTTGTTCCTTTGTAAGTTTTTATGTTTTCTCATGTTTTGGAGATTTTTGATGCATTCACCAACTATTTTCTAACCTAATTTTCTTTTCTTTGATAGCATCGAGTTTGCTAGATCCTTCTCTTCTGTTTTGTTTTATTTTATTCAATTTATTTACTTTTTATTTAATTTAATTATTTATTGGCTCTTTTACTATTGGAACGATGAATACAAATGCTGTTTTGTATCAACATTGATTCCTTAGCATTTTCCCAGTTGGACTCTTCTGCCTTGTCCTAGCCCTATTTTAATGGACGATTTTTCTCGAAATATTGCTGGATGTTGTCAATGAAATGACAAAATACATGATTAATTGTATTTCAGCCGTAAATAAATTACTTAACGTTGAATGACTTGACTTCAGGATCAATCCAATAAGTAACAAAATAATATTTTGCGAGTAAATTCATAATTTGGGGTTCACTAAACGAAAATGAATATAAGTTAATGTTTTAGTACTTACAAGAGTTTCCACAAGTTTGAAATATATCTATCGATTCGAAACAGATTTTAATTTCAATTAAATACTTAAATTACATCGGCCTGTGCCTATTTTGGTGATCAATTTGTCCCGCGGTAAACAAGTGAATATTGGAAATGCCAAAATCTATTGATGGTTGTTCAGTGAAGAGAAAGGGATTTTTATATTATATTCTTGACACGTGCGATTGGACAACCTCAATACATAAAATGGTCGAGGTCTTTCTCGTTCACCGTTTAAACAATTTAATTTATTCAGTTTAAAATATATTTCATCAGAATTCGAATAGTTTAAAATAGATTTATTTAACAGCAAATGAAATGAAAAGAGGTTGGTCAACGATTTTTTCCGGCGAATTGCGATCGATTTTTACCAGAAACCGATCTTAATTGTTAATTAAGTTGGTAGTACGGTGGGGACAGTTTTTAACCATTGCCTATTTTTTCACATTATTTATTGTACATTTATAACTGTTTTGTTTTTATAGAGGCTTGTTTTTGAACTATTATTTTACAAAACGTTTTTATTTCAATTTTAATTTCGTATTGTCCTGCATCACAAATTAAAAAATTTCTGAACTTTGGTTGTACAAACAAGGCGAGAGTTTGGTAGAGAGTTTTGGAAGTGGAATTTTCAACTGTTTGATCTTTATTATCTCTGAGTCCGGCTGTTTGCACTCGGTTGGGAGCATTTCAGTTCATCACGGAATAATCACTAAGCGCAAAATGAGAAAATAGGCTGAACAAAGGATACAGTCAAACAGCTGAAATGGCATTATTTCTTTTTTTTTGCTTCCTCTTTTGATCGATGTTTACTGCTTTTGTTTTTTTATTCGGATAATTTTAGATTGTTTGGTTTGGATTTACGGTTGCAATGCTTCGCGATTCTGTACAGTTCAAGACCGTATGTTAATAAGGAGGCTCGCAGAGCAGTATAAAGTATTTTTTGGTCAGCATAGGTTTACAACGCTTGTCAAGTAGTCTTTTTGCAGTATGAATCTTGCATTAAAATCTTTAGGTTTGAGTCTCTATGGAGATTTCAGGTAAGTCGTTTGTCCGGGGTTCGGAGCTTTTTTTGTTAAGGATAAAACTATATATTGGGATTTAGTTCCCTTAACCCCGATCCACATTGGCATAGTCAGGATTCGAGGGTGTATAAGTGGTTACTTCTTTCTGAAAGGTTAAAGTTAAGGTAGATAGTTATTCAGATATCGTGAGATGCGGTCGGGTGTGATGTAGGTTTCAGAAAAACATTTTCTTTATCGTGCCAACGTTTCGATCTTTNAATCTATTTGATTCTCGGCGACAAATGAAATGCCCACGGAGAGCTTTAGTGAAGATATACTTCATTTTAACTTATTAAATTCACTAGTTTTCGTGGTCCGCTTAACCAATTAATATCTTTTAATTAATTAAGGTTTTTAGTTGAGATAAAAATGTCAGTGTCTCGAGCGGGATTCGAAGCCAGGATCTTCGGCTAGATACGCCGCTGCTCTACCACTTGAGCTATCGTGACCTCGATCCACTCGGACACCAACTTCCCATCTCAACCCCACCTTTTGAATTTTCCCTTCTTTTTGCCATTTTTCAAATGTCTTGTAATCTATTTGATTCTCGGCAACAAATGAAATGGCCACGGAGTTAGTGTCCGAGTGGATCTAGGTCACGATAGCTCAAGTGGTAGAGCAGCGGCGTATCTATTCGAAGATCGTTGATTCGAATCCCGCTCGTGACACAGACTATTTATGCCAACTAAAAACCTTAATTAATTGAACTATACAAAACCTTACACGGATAACGGGACAGTTCCTCACTGAAGACGGTGTAATGCCAGAAGTGTTAGGGTGAGTAGGTAGAGTATAAAGTGTGAAAAGGAGGGGAACGTGTTCGCCACCCAGCGGGTCCCTAACGAGAATCCACGGAAAACTTGGAGTTTGTTTTTATACCCATCAAGATAGACGAGAAAATATAAATGGAACGTAAAAAAGTGTTTTGAACCATTTGGAAGTGACGGTCTGTAAGGAATTTTTTTTAGTAAAATGTATAAGATAGATAGTAGGGTGCCCTTGAGCTTCTACAGAAACTCCGAGTGTCGTACTCGGTTAAATGTAAACTTAAATAAATTTACCTGCTCTTGAATTGTGGCCAGTTTGTCTTCCAAGCCGAGCAGACGTTCTTCTAACGTGTCGTACCTGGTACTCATGTCCGACACAATCTCGTATACAGTATTTTGAGTCTGAAGAAAAAAACAAAGTCATTTTGATGAAATTTTACATTAAAAACTTATGTTTATTTTATTTTAATTTATGAAATATAACGATGAACTAAATTATCGATCTGCTGGAAACATGAAGTCTTTTCGGAGGATCTAAGGAAGTGGTCAAACACAGAGAAAACTTCCTTTCGGTTTTCGCCGAGCTTTCGACAGTTTTATACTGTCATCTTCAGGGCCTGTTTATTATCATATAAAAAAAATTAAAACATGAAAAAAAAACAAATTGCATAAAAATTGAATATCTTATTTAAACCTTAATGGGGAATTAAACGACATGGTGTTTTGGGCACAGAAGTACATTATGTTTTTTGGGGTTCTGCATCTAAACATTATTTAAATTGAATAAATTAATAATTAAAAATTACAACTAAAATTACAATAAGAATTAAATTTCTCGATTACGTTTTTAATTCTTATTGTAATTTTAGTTGTAATTTTTATTTATTAATTTATTCAATTTAAATAATGTTTAGATGCTGAGCCCCAAAAAACATAATGTACTTCTGTGCCCAAAACACCATGTCGTTTAATTCCCCATTAAGGTTTAAATAAGATATTCAATTTTTGTGCAATTTGTTTTTTTTTTCATGTTTTAATTTTTTTTTTATATGATAATAAAACAGGCCCTGAAGATGACAGTATAAAACTGTCGAAAGTTCGGCGAAAACCGAAAGGAAGTTTTCTCTATGTTTGACCTCTTCCGTAGATCCTCCGAAAAGACTTTTTGAAATATACTAAACAGAAAACCTTAAAAAAACCTAAACATTTTGTTTAAAAAAAAAATTGTATTTATATTAAATATAAAATTTGCAAGTATTACCTTTGCCATGTCTGTTATCGTATTGGCATTGTCCATCAATTTTCTCTGATCCATTTTTACTTTCCTCAAGCTGCAAAAGTAGTAGTTTAATCAGATTTTACGTATGAATTATTGTTCTCAACAAAACGTTATCACATTTAGGCATAATTCTATTATTATTACATATTTTATTTTAGACAAGGTGTCAAAAGTATGAGATACAATAAGGCACAGTACAGTATTCATTATACACAACGTATAAGCTCGTTCAAATGCTATATTTTGCTCAACTTGGTTTTGCTTGTTTCAAACATTTCTCTTTGTTCACTCCCGGCTGAGTAGAGCGGCTAATTACGAAAGCATAATGTTTGATGTAGTAATTAAGTTTTTTTAAACCATTAGGTTGTGATTTATGAGAAAGGGATTTGTTAGAATGATTGCGACTAATGGTTTGAACAAATTAAACTGTTTTAATAAATTAAAACTTGGCCCGTTTAGTGTGTTAAAAATTATTATCTAAGGTAAAAATCGCGAAAATGCTTTTTCGTAAGTGTATAAATTGAAACTGGAAGTAGAATTTATTTCAAATAGATTAATCCGAAAGGAACTTTTTAAATACCACACAATAATGTACTCGGTTGTTTACATTTTTTGAACCAATTCGAAAAGAGTCTACACTAGTTGACTGATGAAATTTGTTTTTTGGTGCGTTTTAACAAAAACGAATGAACTCAGTTTTTCTCTCTTTCGCACGCAATACATGCAACCGGGACCACACGCAGACAGCAAATTTACTCGAAGAACAGAAGCTGAAGAGTGGCAATAAAACCAGGGTGGTTTAAAAGAGGTTTATAGTTTTTACCATTGGAGCCTGAACAGTTTTTACTATCATTTTCTTCACCTCCTGTTTCTTACTGAGCAACAAAATTTTCCTCTTTTCTTATTTTATTTTGTAATTTTGTTTATAAGTTTATATTTCCATAAACAATTCTGCGTATCAGGAAATTTATTTTCTAATGAGAAAATAGCTTAGAGCAAAGAATAAAAAAAATATTACAAATACTAATACTAACGCGTATATCGCCAAAAGGAACTTTCGTTGATGTGCTCGGACTCTTCCAGCGTTGACTCTTTTTACCAGTCTCGTATGCTTGTATATCAACCATGTCTCTCTCAACACATTTGCAGCAGCGTTTTTCAGCTAAAATTCAACTCATTGTGAAAAAAATCGCTATACTACAGTATAAATCAACATTAACACTTACCCTTTTTGTTAGTTGAGTGTCCATCATAAAATTATGTACATGCTTTTCAGCCCTAGTTAATTCCATTTTTCTAGATACCACTGCAACTAATAAAGCTGTACAACCCGCCCCCTAGTTGAAATAAAAGATTAGTAATTTTGTTGATAGTGTTTTCTTCTAAATACACATTATTTTTATTTGTTATGTTCAAGTGCATTACTTAATTTACAGTGCTAGAACTAATTACTAGATAGGAAAGGCCTTTACACTGAGATGAAACCGGTTGTTCCGCTTTTACGAGCAAATTTGAGTACACATCAAATAAAATGAAATGAATATAAATATAAATTAACTTGGAGTTTAAAATGCTTGAGATTTTTGTTTTGAAATTAAGGCGCAAAAGAATTGTTTAAACAAAGTCCGCGCTTAAATGCTTATATGTCAAAATGTATGTATATTTTGCTGAAAAGTATAAATATTTTAAATTTTAAAAAATTACTTTTAGAATCAAAACTACCACCTTTTCCTGCATACAAAATAGTAAATAGTAAAAATTCTGGATGTAAAAAAAAACTTTTGAAATGTATTTTTAAATCAATTTATAAATTACCCATTATATTTAGTGGCCTGCTGACCAAATTACTTCTTTCAATTAATTAATCTTTCATTTCAACCAAAACTTTACATAAAATCTTTTATAAATTATGATAAATTTATTAAACTATACAAACAGACAAATGTTTTTGATGATTTTTCATACAATACAAATCAGAAACATTATAACTCATTGTCAGAAGGGATTATAGATAACCTAAGATAGAAGTTCAATTAATTAAGGTTTTTAGTTGAGATAAAAAAGTCAGTGTCACGAGCGGGATTCGAACCTACGATCTTGGGCTTGATACGCCGCTGCTCTACCACTTGAGCTATCGTAACCTCGATCCACTCGGACACTAACTTCCCATCTCAACCACACCTTTTGAATTTTCCTTCCTTTTTTATCTCAACTAAAAACCTTAATTAATTGGTCAAGTGGACAACGAAAACTAGTGAATCTAAGATAGAAGTTCACTAATTTCGTGGTCCGCTAGGCCAATTCCAATTCAAAAGGAGGGAAAAATCGTAAGGTGGGGTTGAGATGGGGAGTTGATGTCCGAGCGGATCAAGGTCACGATAGCTCAAGTGGTAGAGCAGCGGCGTATCTAGCCGAAGGTCGTGGGTTCGAATCCCTCTCGTGCCATTAACTTTTTTTCATCTCAACTAAAAACCTTAATTAATTCTAAGATAGAAGGTTTGGATGTTAGGGCGTGAAATGACCTTAGCCGTTAAAACCCCCTTAAAAATTAATAATAATAATAACAACACAGTTTTAATTGTCTTAACTTTACTTTGTCTTCATTTGAATAATTTATATTGTTTTTAATTACAAGATATTTGCTTTCTTTATGAAACGAAAAATTTCTATTTCAACGTAAGAATAATTTAAAAAAAATCACAACTTACATTGAACCTGTTAGATAAAAATGTTTGTTATGAAGATCATAAATCATTCTGTCAGTGGATAGCACATATGTTAATATTATCGAATCTATTTGGCAGGAAGGACAAAAATATCCACTCCTATAACACAAACAGGCTTTCCAATGCTTTTGTACGTACCCGCAGCCATCGATGATTTATGCAAATCCAGTAAGTTCACGTCTCAAGGATCCCAGCATCCTTTAGGTCCCTTCTCCCTATCTGGAGTCTAAGATACTCCGAATCATTCGTAAGTAATTAAATAAGAATATTCGTTGACCAGTGAAAGCTATGGTGTATTATAAAATATATGGATGTTACACACAGAGTCCTAGATGTGCATAAAGGAAAAGGTGGCGTGTATTTTTTTAAATTTCATAAAAGTAAAAGTGAAAAAATATATTGTATATTTACAGAAAAAGAAAAAAAGAAATGCACTTTTTGAAATTTTATTCTAATGAAATAAGCCATTTATAAATATACATCCTTAAATTAATATATTAGCGTATTTGTTTTTAAAATCATGCTGGCGCTGGCACGACATTTATTTTTGCTGCCCAACTATTTACATAAAAAATTAGAAATTTATCTACTGAAAATAAACATCAATTTGTTGGATGTTCGAATCCGTTTCAATGTAGCAGACCGTAGTCGTCCGTGTGATAAAGTCTCTTACCATGATTCCGGTGCTGACGGCTATCCCTCTACCACAATAAGTATTAGGCACTATATCACCAAAGCCGACGCTGAGGAATGTTATGGCTATGAGCCACATTGAGTTCAAGAGGTTGGCGTGGTCCTCATCGTGGAACCTGCCGAAGAAGAGACACCGCATTTTAGGCTGGGGCAACGTACAACCTTCGAGGGACCGTTACAAATGACTGCAAATTGCCGCTTTTCATCTCAGTGTTCTCGGCCCCCAGAGACTTTGAACTTACCATTATCCCACAAGTGAGGGTTATACCCCGCCCGCAGTAAGTGTTGGGCACTATGTCTCCGTAGCCGACGCTAAGTAGAGTGATGGCGATCAGCCACATTGAGTTTAGATAGTTAGCATGGTCTTCGTCGTGGAACCTGAAGAGAATATATTTGTATATTTGAAAAAAACCGTGCTTTTAGGAAAAGTTCAATACTGCGTCTTAAATTTCTCTCGAAAAGTCCGGATTCTTATTTAAATAAAACCTCCGTTGCGCTTTGTCTTTTTAAAAGTCAATCAACTGTGATCAAATTGTTTAAATAACAAGTATAGTTTGAAGACATGTAAAATCTAAAAGATAAATTGATCCAACTATTTTACAATCTTGAACAGAAAAGTACAATGGGTTTAATTAAAGAATATATGTAAAAAGAAAGAAAAGTACAAGGGAATACAACATCTTATAACAAAGGCTAGGAACTGGGGTAAATAGTTCACACATCAAACACTATGCAAAGTTAGAATGTTCCATTATACTACAACACAAATGTCCAGATGCATAAACAAATGTATTCTTAAGTTCCATACTTGAAAAAAGAGGCACAAGAATGCAATTTGTAGCTGCATCCTTTGTTTTCCCAATATATATATTTTTTCAAACTGAAAACGAACAACCATGACAGGATAAAAAAAGCGAACGTAATAACTAAACCGCCCAATATGCATGCGTACACTGAGACACGATTACAGTGAACACTTAATAAGAAACTGCTATAAAAATTGTCATACTTATAAGAAAAAAGAATAAATACTAATGTGATTTGGTCATACATCAAACTGAAGAGTGTGGTGATTCAAATAAACAATTACATATAAAATTCAAATTTATTAATCTCAAACGAAATAAAAACTCCAAGGAAAAAAGCAGGACGGGAAATAATCAAATAATTATTTAAAAATGTTTCGAATTTTTTAATATTAAATCGTCACAAGTCACAAACTTAATACGGCATGTTTGTATTTGTGGTTCCACATAATATTTTTACGAGTCAAATAATTTAGATGTATATTTTGTAATAGACTGAACCTTTCTTTTATCATGACGTGTTGGTGCAGTGCGTTTTGACATCTGTCTAGCGTGACCAAAGCGTGTTTTACATCAACTTAGTGAACAATATTGGTTTATTATCAATTATGTGAGCACAAATACAACACACTAATTAATTTACTGTTACACACCGCATCTTGTGAATAATACCAATGATCTTAGCGTTACAAAGAAGCAACGCCAACTGGCTTCTAGGGGTTGTTATGAATAATTTTTCTCATTGCAAAAATAAAAAAAAAATTCGGTCTACATTCTTAGGCCTAATGTAAGGATCATCATACATGTAAGGATTTACTCTGTTCAAAATTGACAGAATCCTGCAGATAAGGCAAAACTTTGCTACCATACTGCAAAATTTTCTGTTGTATTTTTACAAAACATGTACTTTGTCTACTTCTGTACATTTGTTTCTAATTTTAAAAAATAGCGGCGTTGAAGTAGTTCTAATGGTTTTTTTATTTGCCTTTCTATTTCTTAAAGGAGAAATGTTTTAAATCAATTTACCTTTAATTAACCAGACACTACATTTATTCCTTTTGTACTTTTTAATATTCAAAAACTTATATTTAAGAAATTCACAAGGCCAATTGCCAAATTTAGTCTCAGAGAGTTTAATGGTATGCAGCTCTTTTAACAATCAATTACGCTAATTAATCGAAAAACAACTTTTAATAATAACCGGTTAATTATCAAGTTATAATCATTATACGTGGTCCGATTGACCAAATAACTTCTTCCAATTAATTAATCTTTATTTACATAAAACCTTACGGTATTGGTTGAAATGAAAAGCTTAGTGCCACGAGCGGGATTCGAACCCACAACCTTCGGCTCAATGCGCCGAAATTTTCAAGTGATTAGAGCAGAGGCGTGTTGAGCCGAAGGTCGTGGGCTCAAATCCCGTTCGTGGCAATAAGTTATCAAAATGTTAAGACCTTTCAATAATTTTACTGTTACTTTTTCTCTTTGCTGTTAATGCGAGGTTAATTTTTTAAAGATATAAGAGAAAATTTAATTTTATAGGTAAATGATTTGCAATTACAAAGAGAAAGGACGGAATTGGGATTTCCGAGTTTTAATGAAGCTTTTTCGTGTGTGATACTAGGTCAGATAACATTAGACACAAGCGTTCTTCCCAATGAGCTGAAGGAGCCAAGAAAAGAAATATTTAAAGTAATTTACATAGTTTTAAAATTAATTAAGTTTTTTAGTTGAGATAAAAAAGTCAATGGCACGAGCGGGATTCGAACCCACGATCTTCGGCTAGATACGCCGCTGCACTACCACTACCCGACCGCATCTCACGATATCTGAATAACTATCGATTAACGGTCACTAATCTGTACGCATTTCTACACGAGAAGAACGATTAATGGTAGATGTTGGTCTGAGAGTCGTTGAACTCATGCTGTACCGGCACTGAGTTACTTGTGTCTGTCTTCACTCGCGGGTTTATTGAATTACTCAAATGCATTTCAGCATTACGCTTCTTTTCAGTGAGAAACTGTCTGTTCGTTGTCCGAGTAGGGCTTTATATGTCGTTGGGTCCGTCGGTTGTCGCTAGGGGCGTTTTTCGTATGGGGCGGGGTCAGCCGTGATGTAGGCTGTTTTTGATGTGGGTTATTTCGGTTGTCGGTTATTATTTGTGGGCTGTTAGTTTGTAGTTTTTTTGTTGTTGTATTGATGATGATGATAATGATAATGAATGGAGATTAGAGGCGTGGTTTTATGTTCCTTAAGCACTGCAGCCTTCTGGCTTATTATACTTTTCCTAGTTTTTTTTATTAGGTTCAGTGCAATCGACTCAATCATTCTTTTAAGAACCATTAGTCTTTGACTTTTGTTTCTGCGATTTCTTTTCTTGAGTTTTCTTTTTATTCCAAGTTATGTTTCCAATAAGCAGTGGCTTTGCATTCACTGGTGATATGGGTGCTGTTTTTGCCCTCCTCATTGTGTAAGATACAATTGGTTTAATTATTATTTTATCCTGCACCTTTGTGTTTGCTGTCATGTAGTGTATAATGACCAATAACTAAAATAATACACAACGGAAATAATCGACATTTCCCCTAAACAATGAACACAATGACCACACCCAATAGAAACACACCACTACCGGTAACCGACGGATCGATTAATTAAGGTTGACCAATTAATATCTTTTAATTAATTAAGGTTTTTAGTTGAGATAAAAATGTCAGTGTCACGAGTGGGATTCGAACCCACGATCTTCGGCTAGATACTCTACCACTTGAGCTATCGTGACTTCGATCCACTCGGACACTAACTTCCCATCTCAACCCCACCTTTTGAATTTTCCCTCCTTTTTGCCATTTTTCAAATGTCGTGTAATCGGATTGGATTCTCGACGACAAATGAAATGGCCACGGAGAGCTTTAGTGAAGTATACTTCATTTTAAATCATTAAATTCACTAATTTCGTGGTCCGCTTGACCAATTAATATATTACAATTAATTAAGTTTTTTAGTTGAGATAAAAAAGTCAATGGCACGAGCGGGATTCGAACCCACGATCTTCGGCTAGATACGCCGCTGCACTACCACTCGATCCACTCGGTCACCAACCTTCTATCTCAACGCCACATTTTGAATTTTCCCGCTCGTACCATTGACTTTTTTATCTCAACTAAAAACCTTAATTAATTGTAAGATATTACTTGGTCAAGCGGACCACGAAACTAGTGAATTTAATAGTTTTAAAATATGTTTTTCTACCTTTGTTGTGAATGTATTTCAAGGTTATTATATAATGTTGTTTAACGACTTGTGGTTCAATAAGTGGTTGAAGTAGTGAGGAGCGGTCAGGTTAGATTTAGGTTAGTCTCCTCATTACATTAACCAGTCAGTTATTACATATCATCGATTTAAAAAAAAAATCTAAATTAATAAAATAATATGCAGTATTGTATTAAACGAGATTAAATATATGAAAAGTTATAAAAAATTACAAAAGTAGGAAAAGGTTTTGCATTTGATTAGCGCGAGCCATTTTTCCGCTGTCCTGTTTTCCAGTTAAAAATTCACAACTCCTCTGGATTTTATCCAAATTCAACGTTTGATAATAGTTAGAAAACTGGACTGTTCTACTTTTAGCCAATGCCAATATAGTAAAAAAATTATACGTCGTACGGTCACAAATAATGTATTTTGATATCTACGATACGCATGATAAGTTGACCAAACGATTAAAAGTAATGGCTCAAACGTGGCCTCCGTAAATAAATCAGAAGTGGAGCTATAAAATAAAAAGTTCGATTTGCTTTTGTTAATTTAAATATTGTTACGACGATTGAGTTATGATTATTTTTAAAGTTACTTAACATCTAAACGTTGTTAACATAGGATGAAAGCTGAAATTTTCCGCTTTCCTAGGATTGTGTTATTGTGGACATTAGATAAAACTCAGAGGATTTCTGAATTTTTAATTAAACCAGCCAAGTTTTTTAAAAGGTATTTATAACGATTCGGAATTATTTTTATAAGTGGCTAACAAATTAAACGGTCATGCTTAAGGGGTATGTTTATTTTGAGGGATCACAAACCGTAATGGAATACCCAGCATAAACATGAAGTAGATTCGCTCGGAAAATTGGGGGCTCTGTTTATGCAATGGCATATTAATTGAATGTTGTATTGTCGAGAATACACTGTATCTGGGGAAGCAGTTGGAATAACAATAACTATTTTTAAAATAAACTTTTGCTAGTTTTTGTCTTTTCTTGGTTATTAATTTATTTTAACTTATTATTAAATATTGTATATTTTCTCTTTTTATTGATGAATAAAATGAGCAAGTTAGTGCTAATTAACGTTGAAAGCAGCCTGGTAATCGAAGAGGACGTTTTGTCGACAGTGTCGAAATGTTTACTAATAAAAAATAATGCCAGCTGAGATGTGTGAAAAAAATTAAACATCCCATTAATATTATTGTTAAATGAATATTTTTTAAATTCCAACTAAAATATGAAAAACGGTCTTTTTATTGTACATATTTTTATATTTAAACAATTGGTACGTTCAAGAAGTTACCATTGTCAATTTTACCTATAAAAGAGAGTTAAGAAAATATCAGCACAAACCAAAGGGTTTGTGACTTTCGAGTGTTACGCCTCCAGTAGTCCTTTGGAAATTAAAATCGAACAAGTTTTGTCCAAGTTGAAGCAGTCCGATGTGCCCACGAACTTGAAAACTGATTGACAGGACTAGTACTTTTTACTTTACCTATTACTTTTTAAAACAAATATCATGTCACCAAATGTCTAAGTCGTACGCCGCCATACTTCTACATTGCTAGATTTCTTGAACATAGAAATACATAGGCCGATTTCGTCCGGTTTTTACAGACAAGACCGCGATTGTGTGGCGTGTGTGGTGTACAGCGAGGGAGTGGCCTTCTGGTAGTTGTCCCCTCATTGCAGCTATACACGGTACGCTCTCGGGGCGATGCGTACCGAGGAAGGCTTAGAGACCGAATCAATGAGTGTTGTTTGGGCTGAAAGAGACAGGTTCTCTGTGGAACTCCTCGTGCTCTTGCTAGAGAAAATACGGCGAGCTGGAGCATCTTCGAAAAACGGTGGTTGTTGTCTGAGTTACCGGACACATCGGCCTGGAGAGTGACGAAAGTCGGGATGTCGCACCGTCCAGACCGGACGATCGCGATCAGATCCTCTGACGCTAAGCTCGTAGGGAAAAAAACATGATAAAAAAAAAGAAGGGAGCGTCAATTGGCGGAGTCGTTAGAAAGGGCTGTTTGAGTCAAGAGCCGGTATATGGCTCTCCTAGAACCTGAGCGGGAGACGAAGAATCGTCCTCACTCAATTGAGGATTGGCCATACGCGGTTGACACTAGTACTTTCTTTTTGGTCAAAGCCCTTGCCGGTACCCTTTATGCAAAGAAAGTTCGATGTGTGCCATATAATAGAGGCGTGTCATGCCTTCACTCCATACAGAGAGCGTGTAGGCCTGCCGCCGAATTTAAAAGTAGTTCTCGAGTATAGCAGTCGATTTCTAGGTCCCTATTCTAATTTTTTTTTTTTTTTTNTTTTTTTTTTTTTTTTTTTTTTTTTTTTTTTTTTTTTTTTTTTTTTAGAAGACGGGGTTTTCTTGTTGTACATAGTTATATTCTAAGTGACTTGTCATTATATGTTTTGTTTGAATGCTTGTATTTATTAATGAAGGTTGTGGTGAAATATAGCGTCACCATCGTCTCTCCAGCAGTATGTGTGTGTGTGTTTCGATGGTGAAATATTTGTAAAAGTACCTCATTGACCTAATTTAGGTTAGATTATTAATAGTCTGTGTAGGTCGAAGGAGGAATATCCAATACTCAACCGACTGTTCAGAAGAGTCCAATGCATGAATATATCTATTTGTACGACTGACTTATTTAATTTAGTTAGTATTAGGCTAGATTATAATTTTCATGCGTTTAGGGCTTAAATGACCTAGCTGTCTCTAGTCACCGTTGGAGCCTAACCCCGTTGGTAGGGAAGCGACGATCTCCATGGCATCTGGCGAAAAGGGGTATTGGCGGCCTAGCCACATTCATGGGGTGGGTGAACTCCCTGATGACACTAGGGTCAGCACATCGAGGAGTGTCAACTCTTCGGCGTGAAAGTCCGAATAATAATGATGCTACTAATAATAATAATAAAAAAATTTTTTTTAGCAAGGCTTATTTACGCGATCATTGCAAGCAAATACAATTTTTATGGTTAACAGCTGTTGCAAATTCTTGAAAGAATTGTAAAGTTCATAGTTCTGTTGTTGTTATTTGATGAAGGCAAGCTAGCCAAAGCATTCTTTTGTCCATCCGCGGGTTGTTTTTTTTCAAAGCCAAAATATCCACATAAAGTTGAGATGTAATTAGCGGAGAGCAATCACAGCAATGATTAGTTGCCAAAGTTCACAAGCGAAACAACGCGTCCCTCTTCTCAAATAACGGTCGAACGTGTTTTGTCATTCCTTTAATTTGACCATTTTGAACAGTTTTTCTTAACTTAAAAACCAAATAAGTGGTAGAAAGGATGGAGAAAACCGGGGTAGGCCCATTAAGGAGGACATCTGCTCAGATGGGTATACAGCAGGCGATTGCAGCCATTTATAACATTTTAATAGGACATAATAAACGTAAATTACAACTACTGATATAAATAATCCCAGAAAAGTGTGGGTGGCTTGAAGGTTGTACGTAAAGATATAATAAACACATAATTAAAGGGTGACCATTATACTTACAAACTTGACAAAATCAAGAATTAAGTGTTAAATGTTACATTGTCTTTTGCATAGTCAATCATAATTTTACTTCAAACAAAAATAAGTCGATTTCAACACTTTTATTTTTCAAAAAAGTATATTGCAAAAGGGTTTTAGTTTAGCTAGTTGGCGGTCTAGTGTATTCAAGCGGCAGATGTAGAATATAGGATATCACTAACATTTATCATGCATTTCAAAAACTACATATACATAGTGACAAAGTGCGCCGCATATAGGTCAACTGCATGCATTAAACACACACTATTACATGCTACATGTTATTTAATAATATTGATCTCCAATCTAATACATCGATACGTTTCTATTTTCGTCTTCAACACATCACATTGCGTTTTGGCACTTTTTCTAACAGTTTAAAAAAAAGTTTGAAATGTAAGAAACGTAGAAAATGAAATAAATTTTGCACGTAGTGGGTGTTAATGGCCAGTTTTGTATTATACTTATAAAGTAAAAATTGTTTAACATCTTGTTTTTTCCTAATTTATTGAAGGTACAATTTTATAGGGTATCATTTTAATAATTTGTTTTTTGCTTTATTGTAAGATTCTAACTCAGATATTTGTTTGTTTTATTGTTGCAACTTATTTTCCATTAAACACTAAATACTGTTAACTGTAAATAAAATAAACTGTTTACACTGCTTAAACAATCTAAAATTATAATATATATAATGATCGTGCAATCTCACCTCTCGCATTGCCTTAAAGTCCAACTGGCAATTATCCAAAGAGAGACCATGAAGACAAGGAGGACGGTACCCGGACATATGGTCATCAGGGTTTTGAGAACGAACCGGGTGTTGAAGTTAATTCGATTTAGCGCCCCTATACTTCGTGAAGAAGCGTCAGTAAATAGTTTGCTGTGTAGGAGCATCACCCGACATATTAGGTAAAGCCGAAGAAACATTGGAAGGGAAAGGGCCACGTCGTAAGGGACCCATTGCGATCCGAAGGTGCCGCCTTTATTCGCCAGCTTAGTAGTCCACAAAAAATAGTACTGGCCAGGGATAGGGTGTATGGCGCAGATTACCAGTTCCGTTCCAATCTGTGCCATCCTTTGCCATGTCATTGCTATCCGCCAATCATCCGCACAGTTGTCAATCATAAAGAGCTAAAACAATAAAAAATATTGAAAATTTATAGATAATAAAATTTGAAAATAAATTTCAATTAAGTGATTATCTTTTCAAATCACTTATATGTATTGAACAAAAGCTAGCCGAATTGGAAATGGTCACGGATTAAATGTATTTATTTATTTTTTTTATTATTGGGTAGTTTGAAGAAGGATTATCCAAGAGTTAGTCTCACTTGTTTATGAGAGACGAAATAATAACCTATAAAATTATATAGATTTAACAACTCCTATGGAATAAATAATATGTTTATTAAAAAAGATTACTCAACCAGAATTAAAATTTGATCTATTAAATTTACAACTGGCTGATAAATATTCATGGCACGTCTGTTCCGTAGAATTAATGGGAATTGTTACTAGCATATTTACACTTCAAGGATTAACTTACTCGGCTTCAAAGCGATTCTGCCGGTCGGAACAAGAGATTAATTGTATCCCTTGAGATTACAGAAAGCCTTATTCCCAGAAGAATTCGTACGTGTGTTTTCATAAAAATTAATCGTTGCGAAGCGGCGAACGTTTTGATGGACTATATGTTCCGCTTGGTTTGGTATACAATTCAATCAATAGACAGGAAAGAGATTTTCCGTATTGATGTTGCAAATTTACTGCTAGTTGTACCGAGATAAACATACAAATAATCTACTTATTGCTAATTTTTATATACTGGGTGTTCGTTTTAGATGGCCCGGCTGAATTTCTCTTGAACCAATGACGCTATAAAAAAAAATAATACGTTTTAATTATTAAATCCATTATATTTCGTGGTTCAATTGATCAAATAACTATTTTCAATTAATTAATTTTTATGTTGAGGTATTGGTTGAGAAAAAAGTCATTGTCCCAAGCGGGATTCGAACCCACGACCTTCGGCTAAATACACCGCTGTTCAAAACATTTGAGTTATCGTGGTAAGGTAGGTTGAGATGGAAAGTTGGTGTCCGAGTGGATCGAAGTCACGATAGCTCAAGTGGTAGAGCAGCGGTGTATTTAGCCGAATGTCGTGGGTTCGAATCCTGCTCGTGACCCTGACTTTTTTTTATCTCAACCAATACTTTACATAAAAATTAACTAATTGAAAAGAAGTTATTTGGTCAATCGGACCACGAAGTCTAATGAATTTAATAAGTAAAACGAAGTATGTCTTCACTAAAGCTCTCCGTGGCCATTTCGTTTGTCGCCGAGAATCGAATAGATTACATTTGAAAAATGGCAAAAAGGAGGGAAAATTCGATAGGTGGATTGGGATGGGAAGTTGGTGTCCGAGTGGATCGAAGTCACGATAGTTCAAGTGGTAGAGCAGCGGCGTATTTAGCCGAAGGTCGTGGGTTCGAATCCCGTTCGTGACACTGACTTTTTTATTCCAACCAATACCTTACGTAAAGAGTAGTGAATTGAGAGATACGTTTTAATATTTAGTCTAGTTTCAAATTTTTACCTTTTTTGGAAAACAATTATACAGGGTATCTCCGGCCGAGTTCAACTTCAAAATTTCAAATGCGACCCTATACGTCCTGACCCAACGTTTTAATGGATTTTTTACTATGAAAACAATGGTGCAATTGGATTTTAAATTGGTCAAAAATGACGAAGTTAAGGCAGAAAGTAAATTAAAAGAAATAAATAAACAGTCATTTGTTTTGTTATTTATTAAACATATTTAACGTTCGAACTGCCTGCTTTGCATAAAGATGCAAAAATTTGCTCTTTTTCATCGGTGCTCAAAGTCAGGTGAGATGGATTGACAAGCTTTTTCTTTGTCCTTCCTTTGTCGGAATTCTTCAACTGAGATTGCTGGGTTATGATTGGCGTAGACACACTTTTTTAAATGGCCTTACAGAAAATAGTCAATTGGAGTAAAGTCGGGTAACTGAGGAGGCCTACAGATCGGGCCATTAGGTCCACCTATCCCGGAATTGACGTTTCAAATAACATCTCACTCGTGTGCTGGGCTATCCATCAAGCTGGAGGATCGGACTTCGTCGTTGTTGCAGAGGAACATCATCTATTAGTATTAATAAAACCTCCCTCAAAAAATTGATGAACTGAGCTCTATTTAAATTATTAAGAATTGTTAGAAATGAGGCCCAATTAATTATATTTCCGAGAAGTCTACGCTAAACATTGATATTGTGAACCACCTGATTTTGGCAAGGGTACGATATTCTCGGATTTTTCTCTGCCTACGTTCAAAAATTCTAACGGTTTAGTATGCCATTAGAGGTGAACTTCGATTCATCAGTACCTAGGATGTATGGAATAACGTTTTCTTCAGCCTCGCAAATTGACATTTGAGCAAGGAAGAGACGCCTGTCATAATCAGAGCCCCGAAGACCCTGGACAAGATGAGAGCGATACAGATTAAAATTGTATGCCCGAAGTACACCTCTAATTTTATTTTTTGAAAAACCTAAAAACCTTTCCAGCATTTTGGATAGAGCAAACGTATTATCGCGAACATACAGTAAAATATTCAACTCCTCGTCGAAATTACGCTGCCGGTTTCTTTTTACCATAGGTTTGTAATTTTTTGACAAATTTAAAATCCGATTGCACTATTGTTTTCAGGGTAAAAGTCCTTTAAATTATGGGTCAGGATGTGTAGGTCCATATTTGAAATGTTCAAGTTGAACTGGGCCTGAAATATCAGTATAATTTTTCTCCCCTAAATTTGCAACTAGACTAAAAATTATTAAACACGTATTTTTTTATAGCGTCATTGGTTCAAGAGAAATTTAGCCGGGCTATCTAAAAAAAATCCACAAAAAACACCGGGTATTTCAAAAACTTATCCGTTTATTTCAAAAGTTTATTATAATTGTTTGAAGTAATTTAATTATTAGAATTTCCATTTCGTTTTGTGTCAAACCTCTGCGGTTCACCACGTTCTTCCGCACACACTGAATTTGCTTACTTCATTATTGCTTCAATTACTAACAACTGTCGCTGCACGTGCCACGAGGTAACGTAAATGACCTTTACCTACCTTCTATTTGAATAAAGAAATCCTGTTTTAATACCGATTTTATAAAAAGCATAAAAACTTATGTATAATTAAAATTAAAATTTGTATAATATTTGTAATACACGAAAGGTTGGCAATGGTAATAGTTAATTTTCATATGTATAGTAAACACTAGTAGTTAAAGTTGATTAAAAAATGTATATAGGTCGAAAAAACTGGGAGAGAGAGAGTGAGAGAGATAGATAGATAGATAGATAGATAGATAGAGAAAGAGAGAGAGAGAGAGAGAGCGAGAGAGAGCGAGAGAGAGTGAGAGAGTGAGTGGTGATGAAGTTGGGGAAAGAGAAAATGTGTATAGGCCATACATATTACGGCGCACAGTTCATCGCTTTTGTAAGACCCGCAAGTCGTGGAGGTTTAGCGTAACACCGTAGCCGTAAATGTGAATTCTAATGTGAACGCGATCTAAATTTTTTAAATTGAATTCCGTTCAAAAATACGTTAAATTGCCCGAGTAAACAAAATTAATAAATTTTGGTCACAAATGAAATTTGAATTTTTGCTTGGTAATGGGTAAAAACGACTCTATTTCTATTGTGCAATGCAGATTTGTTTCCTGTCAGCAGGATATTCATTATTCATTGCTATTTGTGGTATTTAGCCTATATAGGAATAAAAAAAGAAATTCCTGTCTCATTTTAACATTTCTAACCCGTGTCCATTAGTAATCATCCCTAACCATTACTATATAGGTCTAAATGAACGTTAAATGACTACTGCTCGGCATGATAATTTAAAAACTAGAAATAAATATGGTTAGCGATGGTAACAGACATATTCTGCCTATATTGCTAGGTCATTTTTCTTTAGAAATAAAAAGTGTGTGCTAAATTTAAAGAATGTTAGTTTGAAGTAATTTTTAAATGATCTGACGCATTTGAGTATAAAACACAATATTAATATATTAACAACTTTATTTTAAAACGTGTTCAGGCTTAACATTTGTGGGCTTGGCTTACATCGGGGGTTTGTTTGTCCCAATTTAAGTTAAAAGTTAATCACACTATTCTTTCACTCTACGTCATAATTGCAAATTACAAATTAAGTAGTGTAGATCTTTAGAGCGATCTTAGTCTTTAATGAAAGGATATATAAGAAAACTAAATTTAAATATTCAGAAATCGTGAGATGCGGTCTGGTGTGATGTAGGTTTCAGAAAAACATTTTCTTTATCGTGCCAACGTTTCGATCTTTATTGAGGTCATCGTCAGGGCCGAACCATTATCAACACATTGTTTCCCTTCGTCGGCTCTTTTCACCTCGAAGAAGCCGACGCCATGTAAAAAAGTGTCTTTTCTTACCGACTTCCTTCCCCACCCCTTCAAAATCCAACTTATATAAACATAAAACAGCAATATCTCACTGGCACTCTCAACACGACACGCAAGAATAGCACAATTACACAGAAGACAAACACTTTGAGTGAATAGAAATATTTTGATTGAATATAAAAAATATATTTTGCATTGTATAAATTCACTTTTCCACATCCTAAATGTTTTTGTTAAATGTCAACAATGTTTGTAAATCCCAGGCCCTGAAGATGATCTCAATAAAGATCGAAACATTGGCACGACAAAGAAAATGTTTTTCTGAAACCTACAACACACCAGACCGCATCTCACGATTTCTGAATAATTATCGATTATCGGTCACTAATCACCGCACACTAAATTTAAAATATATTAAGACTTATTGTACAAAATAAAATGATAAGTAGGAGGCATAACTAAATAAGTAATCATAAATCATTACAATACGTTAACTTTTTCATATATATATGTTTATTATATAAATATATAAATATCTGCAATGCGACGTCTTTTCTCCCTCTCTCCAAATCGGATAACCATTTGGTGTTTCTTATTCTCACACACGTTCTTCGTACAATTTCATTTAATAAATGTCATGGTCTCTTGCTTTGTCAATTCTAAAACATGTGAAATCA